ATTACCAAATTATTTAGAAGATTTTATTATAGGTAAAAATTAATAGCAATTTTTTAGCTGTATTGGAATTTTTTAAAAAGAGGGGTTTTTAAAACTTTATATCAAATCAACCTTTGATGGTAAATCATCTACTCGTGCTATGGTAAGGTCAATACATTGGCGATGACAAAATAAAAAAAACTTTAGGTCAAGTGAGGTTATCATATCTTTGATTATGGTTGAGCCACTGTGTCAAAAAGAACGGATTATCACAGTATCCAAAACTGAGTCATTTTATCATAAAAAGACAGCACTGGCTATGCTGATTATTCTAGGTAGCTTAGGATCAAGTTCAATCGTCCAATTGTTTAAATGGACTTATTGGTATTAGTACAATAAGTCTAATATCTAATTGGTCTAATTGTCTAATTGTCCAATTGTCAATACTGGTTATATTCGTGAGACAATTTCTTAAAAAAAAGTATGTAAATTATTTGTAAAAAAATAATATGTAAGAAAATAATATAAGGAAATAATATGTAAATTACATTGTAGATAAATATTTCAAAGAATAAATGCATAAAAAATTCTAATGACGAATAATTATAAAAATGATTATTATAGCAAAGATTCAATTTTGAGACGCATATAATTCTAATAATAAATCACTATTTATTGTTATTACACCAAACTCTGATTTCAATTATCTCAAAATAGCTTTTTTGCCAGATACCATGTTTCTATTGACGAAGCCCCATATTTTATCTATTTATCTTTATTTTTTAAATAATAATAATATTACAATTATATATGAAGTTGAAATTAAAATCTAAAAGTTAAAATATTTTGACTTAGAAATTATAATCAAAATTAAAGTAAAATATATTATAATAGTTAAATCAATTATAATAGTTGAAATGTATTATGAATTTTTAACGATATGGTATTTTCATAAGTTTATTAAATTTATATTATAAATATTACAAAAAAAATTTAAAAATAAAAAATTAAAGTAAAAATAATAAAAAATAAAATTATGACTATCTTATTATAAACCTGTTTAGATTAACTAATCATCAAAATTTTTCTTTGAAAAAATCAAAAGATCTATATTCTATGATTTAAATATCAGCATGAAATTTAAATAAAAATATCAGTATTTATCTAAAAATCTATTCATAAGAAACTAAATTTTATTACCAATAAATATCAAGTTTCCATATGTTAAAGGTTTATTGTAAAACTTTTAAAATTAGTGGTCTTTTTTTTTGACCTTCTTCTTTTTTAACTTTTAAAATATATTATGATGGTTGAAATTAATTATAATGATTAAAATCTATTATGATAGATAAAATTCATTATAATAGTTAAAAATTAAAAAATAATTTAAAAAATCAATAAAATATTTATATTATTATTATTACTACTATTATTATTATTATTATTATTAAAATTTGCAATTTATTAATGTATTAATATCAAAATTATTACAATCATAATTAAAATTTACTGGTTCTTCAATAACTACTCTTATATCTACTTCTAACATTCTTTGAAATTCTTGATTATTAAAATCAAAATCATTTTTCATAATTATTTTATTATTTATTTTTGGTATTTCTTTTTTATTTTCTTTAAAATCATTTTCATTATTATTATTATTACTATCATTATTATTTAATTCTTCTTGTTATTCTCCAATTTTTTCATCAGAAAATTCTGTAATATTTAAACTTTGATTAATTGCTTAAAAAAATTGTGTTCTTCAGTAAAATCTGAATTGATATAATTTATTACTATTTTTGCATTTGTTATATAATAAATATGTAATTTTGCTATTATTTGTTGTTCTCCCAAATAATCATTACCCCTTTAGAATGCAGGGGGCTGAATTACACATAAATCACACGACGAACGTTTATTATATTTATATTATGACTTATAATAACATTAACAACCTATTAAATGGCAAAATAATTATTCGGTAAGACTTTTTATCTTATCATCTTTTTCTTTGGATTAAGGGTCAAAATTGGTGTGTACCTTTTTAGAATGGTACAAAAAAAAAATAATTTATTTTTTTTTTTTTTTTTTTTTTTGTTTTTACGGTGCGTCACTTCGAAGATAAAGGTTGAAGAAAACTACCACGTTTTAACCTGCCTTTCTTCTTAGGTCTCATGTGAATGAACAGCATGCAACCTCGTTACTTACACCTACCTATGCGGGTTGCCATCAGTGTATAGTCTTACAGTCAACTGGGTTTGACCCCAATTTTCCGTATCAACTGACCCCAAATGGATTTTTTACTGGTTACCAGAATTGGATAGAGGGCTCACAGTGATTGACGCACTGTTTTTACTAAACACTTATAGGGTTTTACCCTATTGTTAACTTCCGAGATCAAGGGATCGGGTTCTTTTATGAATAGTGGCTTTGTACCCATAGCGTCAAACTCACCCAGGAATCGAACCTGGCCTCTAACCCTAATGGTAACAAGATCCGGCCTACAGCTGCGGCGTGCAAGTTAGTCTGTAGTACACTCCAGATCTACTAATGACTGGTTTACCACTTCCTTACTTGTGTAAGGGCCCCTGAGATTTGAAGACGTGAGACAGATTCCATTACAGACCTATCAGCGAAGGCCAAAAAAAAATAATTTATAGTATTTATGTTTGTTGTTTATGCATTTATGACTCTGTTTGGTGTGATCGACAACTTTAAGAACTCAAACTTAAATATATTCACATTCCTTTTAAAAATCAGTAAAAACATTTAGTAAGCGTTCAAACCATGTTCTGTCAGATGATGATAAAAAAAAACAGATTGACATCGAAGACAATCTTTGTAGAAAAAAAATTTCAATCGGAATTTCCTCATCTAGACTTTCACTATCGGTATTATCGGTACCAACCGAAAATTGATTCAAAATTTTATCATCGGACAATCTGTGTGACAGTTTAGAATAAATTGTTTCCTTTAATGTGAGAAATTTGAATACAAGCAAGTAGAAAGTCAAAACCTTTTGAATTAAGATCTGCTACACCATAATAGTTTAATTTGTTAAAGAAAAGAAGGTCGAAAATTACACAAGTTGCAATCGTACTAGGCCAAATATGGAAGGACATAAAATTTTCTTTCAGAAATCTCATTTCATTTTACTTGTTCGTATTTTCTCTGTGGAATCAATTATGTCACTGAACTTTTTTCTTAGTTACAATAGGCCTTTTTAGTATAATACATAATCATGTTCTACGAGAAACCAAAAGTCTTGTCAAACGTTACTATATATGTTTTAAATATTCCAATTATACACTCTTTAGTAACAGCAATATTTGATACCGGCAATTTGCGTTTATGCATAAAGAGATTTATGAATGTATTTGATGTTTTGATAATGGGCAATGCCGTCAAAATAATGGTTCGATGAAAAAATTATGTGTGGCATGATTACTAGGAAAAGAACTTTTTGATTCTTATTGCATTTTAATTTAATAACATTAAAACTATAATGCAATAAAGATCTAAATTATTTTGAAAAAAAATTCGAGAATTTGATTTTTTCAAGCAATCATCCCATATTACCACAAAACATCTTTTTTTTTTTCGTATACAAATCAAATAATTTAAACCCGGTCATTACTGATTAATCTAACGTATCCAGGAAACTGATACGTAAGGTTTATGTTATAGAAATTCGAGAAGAACATCAAAAGAATCATGCTTTCCGAATAAAATAGAGATAACTAAATAAATATCATTTAAAAATTCTTTTTATCGTAAGTACATGCATAAAAGAATTCGGTAAAGTCCTTTCATGATAATTACCAATAATGAACCTAACCTATTGTTTTATGATAAAAATTTGATTACGGTAAAGACCAGATTTTTATTTACTTTATGTATTTTTTTTTTTTTTTAAAAAAAAAAAAATAAAATAACTTGGAAGGATCTAAAAAAAAAAATGTTGAAATTATAAGAAAACAATGCATTGACAGTTTTACTAAATTTTCTAGCTATTGTTGAAAAAAAAAAAAATTGCTATTTATTAAGGGGAAATTAACATAACACATGACAAATATCCTTGAAAGGGGTAAAAATAGATTGTGATTAAAATGTTTCATTTAAATAATTGTAACATGATATTATTTGTTCGTTCATTCGAACATTTTTACTATAAATATAATCGATGGAATACTTCTTTCTCACCTACCCTTCATAGAGGGAATTAATAAAGAAAAAAAAAATATGAACCCACAACTTTCCTTTGATAAACTCGTTGTTACCAAATCAAAAAGAGGGAGAAAAGCCCTTGCCGTAAGCGATGACCATGTGGACCTAACTGGTAAATCTCATATTATGACGGTCAAAAGGTCAAATCCTCCAACGACAAAGAAGAAAGCTCCAAAGGTTCCAAAGGTTTCAAAGGCTCCAAAAGCCATAAAACAAAGCAATAATTATTGCAGACGATGTGAGCAAAATGATGAGTATTTTGACGTTCTTTATAATCGAATTGAAAAATTAGAAAGTTTGGTGAATAAGTTATCTCATACGAAAATATACAATAATACATCTAAACCGTTGTCACATATTGGAATAGAGGGTCTATTTAACTTATCAAACCAAATACATATCGAGCTATGTCAAAGATTTGAGATGCAGAACCAAATTCAAATTCAAACTCAGATTGCAACTCCTATAACTACGTTACCACCGCTTTCTCAACCTATGAATCATTATTAATGATTACTTTATACATTATCGTTATTGGGCAGGGGGATATTATATCACTGAGATGCGGTGATATATTGCCCTTCCCCTGCCCAATAAATCATGGTTATACATTTTGTACTAAATCGATAAATTATAATTCGCTTCGTTTTTGTTTTGAATGACGACTCTATTTTTCGTTTTAACTAGATTACTCTTTTTTCCGATATTTCGATCATTCATTGTATATATTTTTTTTCTTATTTCGTATGTACAGTAATTCATAAAGTATGCTTTTACATATATATATATGATTATTTTCTTATTTCGTTAAGGTATGTTTTATATATATGTAATTAAAGTTTAAGAATAATAAAGTTAAAAAAATTTTTTTGAACATTTTGAAATGATTGAGACTATCAGTAAATCGATTGTATCAAAAAAGGGGGGGGGGTTAATTTTTTATAGTTCAGAAAATTAGCACAAATGCAGATAATTTTATAATAGTTCATTTCTTATTCTGTAAAAGTTTTTATAAAAAAAAAAATATCTAAAAATTAAAACTTTCTTTTTTTGACGTAATATAATAATTAGAGTTTATTAAAGTCAAAGAAATTTAATACAATAATAATAGCAAATAATTTATTTAAAAATAAAAAAATAGATTAATATTTTTTTGCTTTTTAATTTAAAAATCTTTTATTTCAATTATCATAATTAGTTTGTTATTTAATTATTAATAATAATACTATATATAGCAGTTTATTGATAAATTAATTAAATGATTTATCTTAAATCTTTAATTATATTGATATATATATAACTTTTATATTTTAGAATATATATTATTCTTATAATTAAAAAATAAGAAATACCAAATAAATCTAATATTTTTAAAAATCTAGTAAATTTATTAATTTTTTTAAAAAATTATAAAGTTTATTTTAAAATATTATTTATTATATTTTTAATAGTTTTCTTTAAATTAAAAAATTTTAACTATATTTATTATTAAAATATTAAAAATTATTTATTATAATTAATTAATTTTATAATTTTATTTATAATGTTTTTAAATAAAAGAAATAAAAGAATATTTATTAAAAAAAGAAAAAATCTGAAATTATATTTTTAAGCTGATTTTAAGTACATGATTATAAAAAATTTTATTAAATTTTATTTTATTAATTATTATTCAAATGTTAAAAAAATTATTAATTAATAACTTTTTATATTTATTTAAATTTAAAGTCTATATAAATTTTAAATTTTAAATTTTATTTATTTATAAAATTTATAAAAATATATTTAATTTTAAATATATATATTATTATAAATAAATTACTTTATAATACGTAAAATAATAATCAACTATCATTATAATTAAAGATTAAAATATTCTTATAATGAATATTAAATAATTAAATATATTTCTTAAATTGTAGATATAAAATTGATTATAAAATATTATAAAAATATTTTAATATTTTAATATCTAGTGATCATAAAGAGATAAAATAAAATTTATTAAATTTATCATATTAAGATATATCTAATTATAGTATTTTTAAATTTTAAAATACTTATTATCTAATAATCAAAAATAATAAAATTTAAGTTATTAGATTTATCTTATTAAAACTTATTAAATGATTATATATTTATATTTTAAAATTAATAGATAGTAAGGGTAATAACATTTATTATTTTAAAAAGTGATAGGATAATTAAAAGATTTTAGTATATATAGTATAATGTAAAAATAAGATAGATAATAGAAATATAAGTTTATAATAAATGAATATTACATAATAAATGTTACTGTCTTAAAATATATAAGTTTAAAAATTCAAATTTTTTTATAATAATTTATTATATATTTAGTAGGGCAATTTTGGGGGTTCTGGGGTCAAAATCGAAAAAAGGTATCCAGAAAGCTCCCAATCATAGGCCAGAAACCCTTCTAGCTATATGAATCATAATATAGAATTCAGGTCTAAAATTTACAATGGCGCTCAATTTCGTTATCAATCCTCTTTGCTATAAAATTTGAGCTTCGAAATCTAAAATCAAACAAAATTGATATAATCTTTCTAGCGCGATTTTAAACCCGCCAAAGATATCAAAAAAATTATACCAT